GTGCTTTCATGCAGAAGACTTGGGCAAACTTTGCGAAGAACCCCGCTGGTGGCGTTGGATGGCCCAAGGTGGGTAGTGCGCTTGGCAAGGAGTTGGGTGTGTTGGGCAAAGACGGAAGTAGTGGCGTGACTATTCGGCCACTGCTCGAGGCAGACTATGCTTGCCCACTATACGCAGGCGTTGAAGATCTTCTGGGCTTGTCTTTCAAGTAAAGCATGGTGTTGCGCCTAGAAACCAGCTCTGTAGAGCACAATGGAAATTTATTCGTGCTTAACGTGCTGTGAACATTTACGCTTGATATACTAAGCTTACAACGAACAAAGTGATTACAACGGTTGCTAACACCCCTGCGAAGATGCTGAACCCAATTGTCCTTCTACGACTCAACCTCCCCGTAGCAAATTCCTCCCTCAAGTCCTTTTTTACCAAAGGTATCGAGAGAAGAAACCCGATACCAGCCAGCCAATAGCCAACAGGGATGATAATTGCCAAGCACAGTTGTGTCACCCTTCTGTAGCTTTCACTCGTTGTCTCCTCATCCATCAGCGACAGGCCAATGATCTGAGGCCCTGAAGAGTAAATCAGAACTTGCACACTACCCCAGATAGCAAGTCCAAATGTCTTATAACGCGGAGGAAGAAGCAGCGCAACGAGCGCGAAAAGACAGCCCAGCCAGAGTTCCGCAGTGAGGTACGCGAGACTCATGACGCCGTAGAGAATCTTGATGCCTCGGTCTTCCGAACCATTGGCAATATCGCGCGAGAAGATCATGAGGAGAACGAAAAGCGAGCTGATCATGCCTCCAATGCCGGTCAGATAGACAGGCGTTAGTTTCGTACGTGGCCATAGTACCGAGGTCATGATGCCGCCACTGAGTACCGCGACTGACCCGACGACGCCGACGATGATGCCGTAACGTGAGAAGATTTCGGTATGCGAAGGATATGTATCGCCGAGGTAGCTGGGCATGTAGTTTCCGAAGACGTTGCCGCTCAACTGACGAAAGCCGGCGGAGAGGACGAGGAGCCAGAAGGAGTTCATGCGGAGGATGTAGGTGAAAGTAGCATGCAGATCAGACCTTGCTGCTTTCAACCTCGATGTACCTTGGATGTGCGGTGCTATATCGGCGAAATCCTCGTCTATGCTGTTGCTGTGATGGCGTGCGTGCATTTGAACCAGGCTTTCTCTTCTCTTTGGTTCCCGCAGGACGAGTCTCAATAGCACCGCTACAACGCATCCCGTGATACCGATTGCTCGTAGAGCTATGCGCCAACTCGTGCCGGTTTCCGTGAACGCAGTAGCGATCTGGCCACTGATGGCTTCGCCGATGTATACTCCAACATAGAGTACACTCTCTCCGATGAACACGTTTCTCCATCCCACCAGGTCGCTGATGAGACTGATGGATAGTGCCTCCACACTTGCCTGTCCGATACCCATTCCAAGTCTTGCACAGAATAGCTGTCCGAAGTTGTTTGCTAGAGACTGGAAGATGACGCATAAGCTCCACCATGCCGCTGTAACGGACAGAACCCATACGCGAGCAGATGTATAGTCTGACAGGAAAGCGATGGGGAGAGCGAGTATGGCGTAGACAATGCCTGTTGCGTAGCCTGAGAGCAGGCCATATTGGGTCGAGCTCAACGAGAGATCTGCTAACACAGAAGTCTGGAAGTATGATAGAATGAATTTATCGTATTGCGCGAGGAAGTAGTTGACGAACAAAAGCGCAATGCAGAGGTATGCGTAGGCGTTGTGGAGAAGCGGTTGCTTGAAAGTAGTTCCATGCGTGGTCGGTATCACCTCGTCTTGGTAGGGTCGTTTCGTTCCTTCGTCATAGGGACGTTTTATATCCATTCTCAAGTGATTTCGTTTGCAGTGAGCTTTGAAACCTCAGAAATTCCAGGATAAGCTGTGTCTAGACTCGTTGGATACCAAGCGGTGGCGTAAAGTCGATGACGTAGCGACCACCACACCCCCGCAGCCGAGATACCCGTTGCGATATGAGGTTAGACGTTGCTGCGATCTGTGGTTCGCAGCCAAATCCACTCTCCACGATGCCTAAGCCAGAACCGCAACTTCCCCAGGGCAGCTCTTCGACACTGCGCGGGTTTGCCGAAAGCTTCTCGTTTCACAACTCGCCAGAGGCATTCATCACATCGCGCATCATCGATTTCCAAAGACAGCACCCGGAGGCTGTAGAGAATAGAGCTATCGTTCGGGCAAAGGTGCTGAATCGCAATGTCGCAATTGTCTCCTCGCATGCGCAAATCCATCAAGTCCTGGCCCAAGATGCGTCAGGTTACGAAGCCAGTGGCGCATATGCTGAGCTGATGGCACCGTTCTTTCCATCACCGAACTTGTTACTGACGGATGGTGACGAACATGCATCTATACGTCAAACATGGGAAGCGAGAATGGAGTCTCTCAAGAAAATGCTAGCTCCTGCAGTATCTGAGCGGGTCAATCAACATTTTTCGGAGCCGTCAACGTCAGCGATAGACATGTATGAGTCTCTGAAAAGGCTTTCATGGAAGATACTGCTCGGAACATTCCTGGGTCTCGACCGCGACAACAGTCTCTTCGATACGCTGGAGAGTTTGCAGGAAGACCTGCTTCGAGGCCAATTCTCGCTGTTCCCAGTGACAGTCAACACAGGTTTCTGGCACTCGCCTCGCAAGAAGGGTAAGGAGGCGAACAAGAAGCTGCAAGACAGAATTCTGCGTCACATGAAGGAAGATGTGAAAGCATGTCCATTTGCTGTTGCGGGCCAAGGCGAAACAGAGGATGTGGCAAAGCACTCAGTCCTCTTTACCAGCAGCCTCGCGGTCAAAGCGCTAGCATCTCTTCTGACAGCCTTCTTGTCAAACCTATTCTTGTATCGGACGAAGGACGGTCGATCGCTGGCCGATACTTTGGCCGGTGAAACTGAACCAGGGAGGCTTTCGCTACGCTTACGCGCCATACTATTAGAGACTGAACGACTTAGCCCGCCGATTGTAGGCGTCATGAGACGATCAACAAGAGACAATATCATCTCGTCGCCGGGAGAGCAGGCTGACATCAGAATACCAAAGGGCTGGGACTGTTGGTTGTATTTCGTGGGCGGTGGCCGCGATCGATCGACTTACGGGTCGACTTGGGATGTGTTCGACCCAGATCGATATCTAGACAAGGGCCTGGCGCCCGGTGTAGCCTACGGAGCGGGTCCCAAGACCTGTTTGGGTCGCGATGCGATCCGCGAGATCGTGCTGGCTGTAGCAGAGACGTTTTTGCGCCTGGGAATCCAGATTGATGGGAAGATTAAACCACATGGAGTACGCGGTTGGCTGGGATGGGAGCCAAACGATTCGGTGATGCCTGAGGATTGGGCTCGAGACATGAAGCAGTTGCCGACTCAGAGACCGTCAGACTCAATTACGATACGTGTGTCGCGTAGCTCTCCATAGCAAGATTTCAATGTATTCGTCGCTTGATGTTCTTCTTCGCTATGTTGAAAGCCAGCATGGTCCACCAGATAGCGTTCAGCCCAACCAGCATAGCAGTTCCGATCTGACATCGTTTCCTGAGCATTGCATACGCTTGGCACGGACCAAGGCCATGATGCTGGCCGTATTTCGACAATATCCAGTAAACGACACCGAATCTTGAAGCAGCGAATGTTGCCAAGAAGGCCATGTCTAAAGCATTATTTGATGCTCCTGTGCGCTGTCGGTTCCACCATCGCGCATGCATTAGTGGTGTACTGCCATTCATCAATAAGAACGCGGTGATCACCCACATCCCCTTTTCTTTGCCGGCTGCAATGTACGCTTGCAACACGAGTAACGCGGATGAGAGCAGCACGTGATGAACGAGAGTGATGGGTGAGTCTCGGGCCACAACGCGTAAGGCAGCACGAACTGCTGACTGGTCCTTCTTGCGGCGTGCATGAATCATCGCATAAGTGTCGTACAGGAGGTAGGCGGTCTCCCATGCGGTCAGCGCGTTAGCCAACTTATTGTGACCATTGATCGTAGGATTACGCGAATCGTCTAGGTGGTGGCTCTTCCCGTGAGCGTCTTGAGAGGCTGGTCTTCGTGACGGGAGTATCGGCCATGACGAGTATCGCAGTAACAACAATGCAATGATGGAAGATGTTGTGGCATGCGCTGCTGAAACGGCCTTATTGAACCTGATTCGATCTGCTGACATTTTCGAGGTTTAATATTGCGAAATGTTGCGTTTCAGGGCGATAGAAGTGCCATGCGAACAGCGTATTGATGAGACGCGATGTAATGGTTGCGGTGGCTTCTTGGGCGCTTCTCGGCTGACTGACACTCATGGTCCGTGCGGTACACACGTCATCGACCCCTTCATCCCAGCCACCGAGTTCAACCCGATCCGCAATCACCATCATCACGTTATTCTCGATTCAAGCGAGTCACACAAATGTCTCGTGCACTTTACATCTTGTACAATGCCGACGCATCTATCATGGGCAAATTGAGGTATGGTTATCGAAAGATTTGCCATTCTTCAGAGGAGAATCCAGCTTGTGCCGCCTGTATGCTTCCCTCGGCGAATTCATCCGTCTGACAATGTGACAAATTATGCTGACTCCCACAGGTGATATTACACATGGCGGATTATCGTTGACGGAAACACCAGCTTGGGTAGAAGCGAAGAAAGCAATAGAGGCTGAGTCGGGATACCGCATCGTGCAGTGGCATAGAGATGAGCTATCTGAAGAGGTTCGTGGTCGCGATGGGATCTTCCGAGTACTGGGATCTAAGTATTGACCATTTGCAGGTGAAGAACTTCATCGAGTCCAACAACATCCGTTATCCGACCATTGTGTCGAGCGGAGGCAATGGCAGTCTCTCAGAGGTTATGAGCAACTCGGAGCTTGCGGCTTGTAAAGGCAATGCACAAAATGTCATCTCGAAGCTTCGAGAGAAGGGCATGATGCAGCAGAAAGCGGTCTCTCCTTCTCTGTAGCGAGTTCCATTCGATACCAGTTAGCTCAGCGCCTGCACAAGCCAATTTGTCCTTTGAGCAATGCCTAAGCATACTAAAAGGGCCATAGTCCATGAGAGATGCTGCAGATAGCGAGGAAAGATGAGCATGGCTGTGAAGAAAGCCGCGCTTTCCGTCCCTTCGATAAGTGCTGGTCGCATTGCCACGCTGGTCAGCTCTTTAACCCTGCTTCCATCTTTCCCGCTGCCCTTGCGCTTCTCGAGAATGGCGCCAATGTAGAACAAGACGAAGTTGTTGACGTGGAATGATGCTTCTAAAACAGCCACTGAGAGCCAGATGCTCTTTGCATTGGGCTCACCATTAAGTGCTAAAGCGCAGGATATAGGGGTGGCCGAATAGACGATGAAGTCGCCCAAGAGGTCGAAAAAGCCGCCAAGATCCGAAGACTGGTTGCGTTTGCGGGCGACAGCGCCGTCGAGACAATCCAGTGCCCTGTTCAGTGCCCAGAATGTGGTGCTCGCCAAAGTATTGTTGGATGCAGCGTAAATACAGGAGATCACACCCGAGGAGAAGGCCAGAAACGTGATGGCTAGTGGCGAGCAAATGGAGGGAACGAGTGGCGTGATAGAATCGAAGAGCGTGTCTTTAATCGGCCGAAGCTGGATGTCTAACATGACTGCGGTAGATGTCAACTGGATAGCGAATGACGGTGATGGGTGAGATGCAATCTCGAGATAGAATGCCTTCGGAACCGTTCCGATCGGATGACGTCAAGAGTCATGAATGCCCAGAAAGCGCCAAAGGGAGGCAAATGCATCCGACTCAACACAGCATGGACTTCCCTTCACACAGAGTCACATGCAATCATGGTTTTGATGTATCGAGCTGTTCTAGGAACCCTGTTTCTCTCTTCCGTTGCCTTCCCAGACCTATACCAGCCTCTTCTCACACACCTGTGGCAATGGCTGATACGGAACCCTCTGTATCGTTTGTCGACTTTTGAGACGATATGGACAGTCCTTCTTTACGCAGTAATCGAGGTGTCTATGACGGTCGTGTTCATGCGGAACCCGCAATGGAGATTTGCAGTCCAGCAGAATATAAAAGATGGGGACGCAGCCAGGAAGCCACATGGGATGCGACGACCTTCGCGGCGATGGGGCGAGGCTGTCACATACATGACGCCGCTACTACTCATGGATCTGACCATGATCAAGAAGTTTGCCGATGTTCCGCTTACTGCGATGCTAGAATCGGGCAATTACCACGAGGCAGCGGCAGCAATCGCAGCAATCGCAGCAAACAACTCCACTACGGCGTATCACAGTACGTTTCTGGTACCAACACTGCACAACATGACGATGTCTTCACCGCTGCAAACGCAACGCGCTCTTCCAGACCTTCCTCCTACGAGCCGCCGAATCGCCCTCGAGCTTGCGACGAGCTTTTTCCTCTACGATGCGCTCTTCTTCCTCTTCCACTACTCGCTTCACGTCATACCCGTGGTCAAACGATGGCACGCACCGCACCATCGACACGCCGAGATACACCCCCAGATTACCAACCAGTTGCACATTCTCGAGCGACTGGGCTTGGTGCTGCTGGCCAACTTCAGCCTCAACATCATAAAGAGCCATGTCTTCACGCGGACTTTGTTTGTACCCATATTCGTATGGCTATTAGTCGAGCTGCATTCGGGGCTGGATCTACCGTGGGGTTATGACAAGATACTGCCCAAGGGTTGGGGAGGCGGAGCAAGAAAGCACAGCCTCCATCATGCACGAGGCGGTGGAGGCTACGAGCCGTACTTTACATGGTGGGACAATTTGCTGGAACAAGCGGGCCAGATTCCGAAAGAACATGTCGAATAATTGCGCACGAGCCCCCTCGGTTACAGATGCATCGTACGACTACCGAAATGTCAACAAGCACAACGAGGCGCGTCTACGGCCTATGTTTGCCTTTGGATAGCCAGCGAGCCGCAGCGGTATAAAACGACCCACAGCATAGCTTTCCATAGAGCCTCGCCTTTGTGTCGGTATAGGATGTGCGTTGAGCCTCCGCGGGAGCGGGAACTTGCGAGATACCGAGGTCGCTAAAGATCAGGCGCCAGCCGCCCCTATTGAACGCCACAAGAGCTTGGTTCACGATAGTATGGAGGGCCTCGCGACGCGAAAATTCTATACATAAGAAGTTTCGCTGTAGACAAATTGTAGGTATCGCTCATCGTCGCTCGTTCTTCGTACAGTCACTCGTTACAAATTCTGTGTCTCATCGACAACTTCACTCTTTCAAACTTCGTACTCTTCACAAGATCGATTCAGTCACCATGGCTTCAAAGTTCATCCTCGTCTCCTTAATCGGCCTAGTTGCTGCGCAACAAGACATCCCAGCAACTATGTCAGTCCCATGGATCGGCGACATCTTCGAAGGCTCAGTCTTGCCGAACATGGTCGGCTCCGTTGTCACCGCGAATCCCACCGCTACGACTCTTGCACTCGCCTGCGCTACCTCCATCGACTGTGGTCTCTTTCCAGCCGAAACCCTCGTCTTCGGTCCTTCGACTTGGAATCTCAACATGGGGGACCCAAGCCCGGAGTCCGACTTTACCGCTACAATGGACTGCGTGATCATGCCCGAAAGCGCGATATGCAAAGAGACGGCTGGTGGAACCGAGGCAAACTTTCCCGGCAGCAGCACAGAGCCATACAGTGGCTCAGCTGTAGGCACGTTTGAATTGGTGATCACGGCTGGTGTAGAGAAACTCAGCCAGGCCACGGAAGCTACTACCACTGACGCTGCGACATCCACCGCTACTTTGTACAAATCACATCCGATGTCTGGATTTGTGGAAGAGATGAGTGCTAGCACAGGTGTTGCAGCGAATTCTGGAAGTGTGAGCCAAACTGCCAGTGCCGCTGCGGCAGATGCTACTGGCGCTGCCAATGCTAAGAGTGTGGTTGGTGGTGGTGGTCTTCTTAGCATCGCTGCTGGTGTAATCGGAGGCATGTTGCTATGAAACCTCGTTAGTCTAATAATACTATGAACTCTGAGTTGCTGTGCATTGCTTGACACACGAGAACTTTGGCACATTTAACATGCCGCGCACTGCGTCATTGCGCCTACGGGAAGATGCTTGGCCTCAAGGCAGCGCACTCTATTCTCGGGGATCAAAAGTTGCAGATCGCCCACAAGCACTCAGCTTCACCTCTTGACGTAGCCAAGCTCAGAGTTCCATGTTGCCAAGCTAGTCATCCCCTATGGCCAAGTGCTGTGCCGTAGCACTGAGGGCTGGTTTCTGATTGCTCGCTTATATGTTGAAGGTGACACACTGTGATCGATAGTAATGTAGCAACAGTCATATGCTCCTGCTACACGCGAATTTGGTCTCACAACACTCACGATCTACCGAAGTGCTGATGGACTTTCCTGCCAGTCTGCCACAGGTGGTGAAGTTTCGTTTATCTTCAATAGTCCCAAGAGGACCCCATAGTTAATGGATGATGTGCAATCTCAGTAGTGATAGAGTCCAGTTGATGATGGTCCTCATGGAGCTGGGGTGACTAGTGTAGCGCGATTTATCCCATATACGTAAGCATTGTTCTATTTTAACAGCTTGGCTATGTCGATGAAGTTCTTGGCCCGGCCGGTTATTATGACTTCAAGTCCGCATCCGTACCGCCCCAAAGATCCTTCACTGTTATGAGCGCATTTTGGTTTAACCGTTACGTCGTGTATCGTCGATGAAGGCATGTAAAATTACGCCTTGCTGTAGAGTACTCGTTTCCCGACTGTAAGCGCGTCGCTGTTCACCGTCGTTGGAATGTATCGTCGTCGAGATGAGAAGCGAGGTTCGCCTTGTTGCATGGTACTGCTTGTACGCGCTGACTGTATCTTAAACACTACCAGTCGTCGGCCATGATTTTTCACGAACCTGTTCGTGAGGGAATTGGCACTTCTGGGCAAAAGACGTCTGGAGATGAGAGGTATGGAGTCCCTCAAGGCACAGCTTAGTGTATAAAGTGTGAGACTGAGCCATCCTCACTCCCAACTCCATCGCAAGTCTTCAGCATCTTTCAAAAAGCACACATTCGACGTGTTTTCGAGATGCATCTATTCCTTCCGTTCCTCGCCGGTTTTGTCGGTGTCGCCACTGCAGACTTCTTGATCTACACGTTCGAAGACAGCAACTTTACGGGTGAACTTTACGTAAGACGTGTATTGTTCTTGGAACCAGAGTTCTACTAACGCAGCTCTAGTTGGGGTGGAAGTTCTTCGATGGCCCCCCGGACTGCAACGCTATCTGTGACACATCCAACCTCGGTGGAACGGACGACGCAAGTGACGGTGGCGTTCGTTGTGAGGGTAATGGTAATTGTCTCCGTAAGAGCTGTATGTGATACAAAAACTGACTTCGCACATTTGCACTTAGACCCAGCAGGTGGCTGCTCTTATTATCCGGATGCTCTGATTACGGAACTCGAAGTACATGTAGAGGGCGTTATGCACTGGACTATCTATGGTGAGAACTCGTCGGTTTACCACCATGTCCCAAGCTAACAATCCGAGCAGAGGACAAAGGGTTCGACATGGAGGCCGCGGATGGCAGTGGCTCTCAGGGCGTGTGTACGCCTGATACCTCGGACGATTACGATTGCGCCAGCTGTGGTAGCCGTTCAGTAGGCCGTCGCGTCTTCACTTGCAAGAGCGATTTCACGGCGAAGGACTTCGGCTTGGAGACCAAATGAGGTAGCCGGGGTATTGGTATTTCCGGAGATGCCTGTGCGGCGTCCTAGTCTTGGTTCGAGCGTCTTCTCCTTGGCTCCTGCGACTCAGTGCGAGTTTGCTCTGTCTTTACCGAATATGTTGCACATTCTGCCATCTAAAAATGATCGAATCCGGTTATTTGAACCTGTGAAAGGTCGTCTGATCAGTTTGTGATGTCTTAGGAAAGCAACGAAGCACTGACAAGTACGCGCAGACAACTTCCAAAGCGCTAGCCTTCTCTGACTTCCCAATCGTTGCTAGGAGGAACGTGCTGTAGTCGGGCATAACCGAGAGATGTTGGCACGTTGGGTTAAGCGGAAACGTATCATCCTCGGTGAGGTCGTCTCCAGGCGCTGAGCTCCCTTGGAAATACTCATCCGCGGATATAAGCCGGAAGCGGCTCCGTGGAATGCCTTGGCGGTCTTCTACCAGTGCATCCTGCAAGGCAAGCAAACCATTTCCTGCAAGGCCGATGCTTTGAGATGTGCCACGGGCTTGGGTTTCCTGGTGTAAAACGAGAGAGCTCGAGATGGCGTATAATTGTGGGGCGAACCCAGCGTATATGATGGTCGTCGTGCTCGTTACCCGCGCGCGCATCTCTTCGTCTATCTTCACTCCCTTATTTTCATTAGTTCTGAAACGTCCGAAATACATATAGCGAATTGCGGTATCTTGTACTGTTAGGTTAAAAGTCGAAAGCGACGCATTCACCGGATGTGCTGGTGTGGACATGGTTTCTGTGAGGGAATGATGAAATGAGCTGCTTCGAAAGAGCAGGATCTAATGTGAGAATTCAAGACGTATAGGGAGGTGCCTGAAGAGAGACTCTGAAGGGATCGCTAAAGAGGAGGTCTATCAGTGAAGGGAAACTGCTGGTGTCGAGCGCTAGAACGCGCTTTCCTCACAG